GGCCAGTCTCCAAAATTAAATATTTTGGGTAATGTTAATGCCGGCGATACTGTAACTTCGAAGCCCTATAACTTGAAAAGTACTTCATAAAAAAATATTTCATTATAACGTTTTGGAAAGCTCTCGACATCAGCTATTAGATTCTTGAATAAAAAATAGGATGTTCCATTTCAAAAAATCAATGTAACCTTGACCTGACCTTGACTACGTAACCCAAGGTCAAACTGATAGGATCAGTAAATAGATATTTTTAAGCCATATAACTTTTGTCTGAAACACTTTTCTGTAAAACTTATATTTCCCGAGATATTTAGGTGTCCCGATTTTTTTGGGACACCCTGTATACTAACTACACTACTATCTTTTTTCTAGCAATCCCATCAATTATTAATGCAATAGGTATATGTATGAGCGTTCGATAATATTTGTGTTTTCCAGTTTTCTAAGAACGCAAACGATTGCCAAACTCAATATGGGAATCATTATTGTGCGATGTCGTATTTGCATCGAGCAAAGTCGCCGATTGCATATCTTCAATTTCTCCATCTTCATTCTCATACTCGTACTCGATATCTATATCGTCTTTCTTTACATCACTTTGATTGTTATTGCTCGTAGCGTAGTCACTCTCGTCAGGTACTGTAATTTGTAGAGGTAACTTTTCATTGTGTTGCATTTTATAACTTTGTCTATGGTGGTGCTGCTGACTATTCTGGTTTGATTTCAGTTGATTATATTTTTGTTGTTGATCATCATCGATCTGAGACTTGCTATAATCTACATCATCCTCATCATCGTTCTTATGATTAAGCGGCATTGATTCATCTTTCTGCATATTTTTTTTCTGTTGTTTTCGAAGCTGGCCAATGAAACGACTGTTGATGTTACCAGCAGCGGCCAGCGCGGCTAATTTTTCAGCAGCCTCTCTATTGGGAAGTGTCGTATAGAATCTTGTCGACACAGGGCTGTCGTCGACCACTTTATCGAAATACTTGGTCGGATTTCTTTTATGGGTCATTTCTCCATATTCAATGTTGTTTTCAGATTGTTCGGTTGTCCCATCTAAAGAATGCGTAAGTTCTTCGTTGGAGCGCACATTATCATTTTGTTTACGTATATCAAAGGAAGATTCTGAATCAATATTATAATCTGCCTTGACACTTTCAGAGGCGTAATCTTGATCGGGTAAAATTTGCTGCTCTCGCCGCTGTAGAAACTGATCAGTCTGTTCGTCATAATTGAAAGAATGGATTTGTGATTGAGAAAAGCTTGTTACTGCATTTGAGTCAGGTATTTGGCCAAGTTGTTGCTGAAGGATGCGTTGCTGATCTAATAATCATAAGAGAATTTGAGAAATAACTTTTATTCATATGTCAGTATTCTTTTGTAAGGTTTACTAAGTAAGGAACTGCAGTTCTAAGGCGTCGTCTACAATACACGGAGTAAGAAGTAAGAGAAGAAATTGACCAATCACAGTCGAATGTAAAAAGAATACTCGACTGTGATTGGTCAATTTCTTACTCTTACTTCTTACTCCGTGTATTGTAGACGACGCTTAATAGTTATAATTATTAGAATCGAGTGTATGTGCGCGCGCGCGCATGTGCGTGCGTGCGCATGTGCGTGCGTGCGTGTGAGATAAATTTTTTCTCTTTTCAATCATAGCAGCTGTCAGAAATTTTTCCTCAATAAAAATATTTCAAAGTGAATATGCCTGAATTAAAAGAAATTAATCGATTATTGCTTTTATAAACTTTCAAAAAAAATTAAGCAGCCCGAAGAAACATTATATATTACGAATAAAATTGACTTTCATTTCCTACGCTGTAATATTATAGTTCCTACTAGTGCAACAGTTTACAGCGATTTCCTCCTAAATCGGCCTAAATATAATGTATTCTAAATAAATATACATTACCTGTTGTATATCGTTCCGCAAGTTTAGGTGGAAAATTATTTAACAGACTGTAAAGTTGTGAAACTGATAATGGTGGCCCTGCTGGAGCAAGATGGTCCTCTGGTATCTGCTGCGCTATAGCGTACGGTATCTGCGGAATGACAGTAGAAGGAAATCCGACGTGTAGAGAACTATGAAGATTCGTTTGCATTGGCATGTTTGACTGGCCGAATTGTACAGTGTTCGAACCTAGAACACTCGTATCTGAGTTGACTGGGTGATTTGCAAAAAGCTCATTGGATTGCGGCTGAGGATTGTTAATTATAATTGAATACAGCTTCGTTGTGTCTAAATCCTGCGGTTGAAAAATAACCGACTGAATTGTTTGCTGTTCCTTTGGAATCACGTCGTTGCTTTCTGTAACTTCGTATTGATGTTGCGGCGGAATCGAGTTTGTCACTGTTTCTTGCGACGATAAACTACTGCTAACAGTGGCTAATCCAAAATTGGTTCTTCTAAGATCTGTGCGAAAGTAATATCCATCGATGGCCATCATCTGCATCTTGACATCTTACCCAGCTCAAAGTAAGGCTGAGTAATGTAATGAAAATTAATAGTATACTTACTTTGTACCGGAACATGGTAATTGAGATCGCTCGATGGTTGATATGGTCGGTGATCCGCGATATCTTCCAAATTGGTAGCAGTATTGTATGGGCTATCTGCTGGGCTTAAATTTGGTGCCGGAATCGTGTGAATAGGTCCTTTATCGTCATCGACACTCCCTCGATGAGTAGGTGGCAAAACTACCAACTCTGATCTGTATTCCGGACTGTATTCCGATACCTTGTTTATAGAATATAATTCTTTAGTGGTAGAAGCACGTTGTGGCAAAATTGGCCGATTATTCAGGAATATTGCTCGCATTGGAACTTGATTCTTCCAGTTAGTCGACAAAACATTGTATATTGGCCGACGAATTCTAAAATTGAGAATGAAATTATCGTGATGTAATGGAAAGGAAAATGCATATTCAAAACTTTTTACCTATAATTGGCGTGCTTGTAAGGTACTCTCTGATGAGACAGACTATCACCAATATGAATGGTGTTTCCCATAGATATTCTTTGATTAATAGGCCGGGGTTTTTTTAATATCAATGTAGAAGCATACGGTGGAGATGAAGGTCTTCTAATCTTATTCTTTGCTTCGGAAAGGCAGATACACACGGCGAGGAGCCACCAAATCCAACTAGTTGTCTACAATTTGATTTATACAGCGTATCGAATCGTGATTCTCTATCTCACTTTCTCCGAAAAATTTCAACAGGCAAACTAAGAGAGATTGCAGCTCCTATTATTTTCAAAGCGCAAGCGAAAGTGAAACGATTTTTACTTTACTGCAGCATCACTATAGTAATCTATGGCTCTTTGGGCTGTGTCATTACGTACGTGTATCACGAATGAATAAACGTATAGACCTACACGTATACGCGTGTCCGTAAAATCAAAGAGAAAATTGCAGCAAATAATGTACCAAATGTGGGACATTGTGCCACATTTGTACACTAAGGTTGGCAAGAAAAGCAAGCGTATAAGTCAACTCGAAAAGCGAGAAGAAAATGTACGTAAAAATGTGAAAATTTACAGAGTCTTTGAACACTTACTGTCTAATTAATTGTAAGTGATTTAATATCGTATTTTTCACGCCTAATCTATTGCATCGCTGAAAAAGCTTAAATTCTTATGGATCTCTCGTGGATCAACATAAGAGAAACGTAAAAACGGCAATGTGCGATAAGCGTGTGGCATATACCATTGGCAACGTGTAAAATAATTATAAATAACAGTAGCTGAAAAATCGATCAAAATAAAGACTTTGCCTTCTTCAAACAATAATTACTTAAAAATTTATCTATATTTTTTAAATTCGTAAGTTACACAGATCAGTTACAAACCTATTAGTGAAAAATGGAAAGAAATAAAGGGAAAATGGTAATATTTACCAATGGTCAGTTAATTTCCTATGAGAAATTTATAATGATTAATCGAATAAGTAAATAAAGCTGTAGCCGATTAAAGTATGGATCTTGAGGCCTAATAATATTTTTGCGTGAATTTTACAATTTTTAATTCAAACTAACTGCGCACCGATTTATTTGTCGAGCTCGAAACGCAGTAGGTAAACCGAACTGGAGTAGATATAATGTCACCAATCTGATGGAGACACGGTAGTGTCTCGGTGCTATTAAATTGCTTGACAAGCAATTTAATAATTGATAAAAATTGATAGATAGATCACACGCACCTGTTACGGAATGTAACGAAAACTCGAAGGTTTGCATTTTGACTGTGGAGTAGTATTATTCACAATAAACTTTTTACAGTGTTTTAAAATGCTCACTCTAGAATAATTGAAAATAAATTAAAGTGGATTGAAATTTTTATGCGTATTTCAAATTTTTTTCTAATCAGTTGGATTCAACTGGATTCAATTCAGTATAAGACTGAAAAACTGCATTCCCTATTCAAAATTTTGAATTGAGCAGTATTCACGATGGATAGAAAAAGTTGATATTTTTAAATTGAAAGGCATAGGAATGTACATACATTCCTGGTAACAAGCTACATTTTGTTTTGTCGTTTTTGATGTCAAAAGACGTTATTGACGTCAACTTGCTACTAGGGATATATGTCATGCAATTCCTATAATGAATGAATAAAAATGTATTCGAAGTGAAAAGGATTTATTTTAACGTTCGCGCGAATGCGTATTCCTGAAAATTTAAATCCATTTCGATCCACAGATTGTGTTTCAAGGCTGATAAATAATTTTACTGGAACTATGTAGATAGAAATTATCAGATTTATGCAAAAATATTATTAAACACTAACAAAGATCTGCTTTGACTGAATGTCGGCTGTCTTCGCTTGTTTGCGTTTTACACATGGTCTCGATATAGTGTATATAAATATTGCCGTAATAATTTCAAATCAAGCTCAATCTTTTGTATAATTAAGACTAATTTATTGTCCAATAGCATATACAGGTTGAATCTTTTGTAAATATTTTTTATGACGCGCTAAAGAAATGATGTAATAGCACAAGTACTTCCGAAGAACAATGTCTAATTTTTCCACAAAATATGCATATGTACATATCTTACCTTCATAATAATTTACGATTTAATCGACTGCGACATACAAAAAATTACACCGTTCCCGTTGTGAGAAATTTAATCCGACTTTTCTTTTATGTGTATTTTCTCGATAAGAAAACAATTTAATTTAGTTCTACAGTTATAAATAATCAAGTCAAGTATGAATTACACGCACGGGGATTGACCATCGAAGAAGCACACAACACGTTCTGCACACAATTAGGTCATTGTCCTTCATTTATACTCCAAACCGGCGAACGTATTATCCAAGACTAAAACTTATACCTCTTACCTCGTCAATCCGCAGGAGTTTCTTCGAGATATATCCGGTAAGATTGGAAAAAAACACAAGTTTATCTACTTGATGGATAACTATTCTATTAATATACAATTTTGTGTACAATATTTAAATACACAATATTTCTCTCGTCACTTAATCTTAAAGAAAACTTAATTTTCTTTCAGTATATTCAGCATATTAAAATATATATATATATATATGCATATTAAACTAAAATCGCCAAAAAGTTTTTACAACATAAAATATATATATATATATATATATATATATATGTGTGTGTTTAAAAAAGAGAAAGCTGTAAACGCATTGATATCGGCAATAATATCAAAAAGAAAAGTTAGAAATTCTTGGATAGAGTTTAAAGTTTAAATATAAATTATTTTTTAATTAGAGAGCGCAAATACATATTACGGAGAAAAAAACCCGTTCTCATACGAGATCATATTTGTTAATACGAGATATTTGGTTGTGTATACGCGCGCACATATAATATACTGTATACAGGAAAAAATGAAATCTTTCTTACCAAACCATATGTTTCTTACTCGCAAGACTGCGAATCGATTTGATTGAACGCGTAATTTGGTCACGCTCTCGCAACGTTTCTCTCCATATTCTCGTACCGTACCGGCAGACTCGCTTAGGAATGCAGTCGTTGACGCGCGGTAAATTAAATCGGCACGCATGTGTGATTCAATAACCTATATATATAATTATAAAAAAATGAAG